ACATCTGGGATGGATAGGGAACTCGAGGATTGGGGGGTGGGTGAGGGTGGGAATGGAAGGGGGGGATGTGAGTCTCCATTTTTTTTCACAGTGCATAAACCATACATTTTGTTTTGGAGTTCAATTTGTATATTGTGAAGTTTTGCCTTAAAGTTCATAGATGTTCCTGGTCTACAGTTTTATTATAGTATCTTTGGCTTTGGTGTCAGGGTATCATTGACTTTACGGGATGAGTTTAGAGGCACAAATTTTCTTTCATGTCTCTTGTGTTAAGGTTCTGAGAGTGGGTGACAGTTCTTTTGGTGTTTGGTAGCCCTCACCAGAGAAGACATTTGGCTCTAGGGCTTTTCATTGTTGGTCCTCTCCTCTCCTCCTTCCCCCCGCCCCCTAGCCCGTCAGTCTCTTTACTAGTTATAAGTTTATTCAGAGTTTAAGTTTATCCATTATTCGAATTGGTAGATTGTGGTTTTCTAAGAATTTGAATTTGGACATTTCATCAACATAAACCAACATTCGGGCATGTAGTAATTCATATTGCTCTTGTGTAATCCTTTCTCTTTCTGCAGAATCAATGACGTTCTCCCTTTTGTGTTTAATCTCTACCACATTGAGTCTTCTCTGTTCATTTCTTTATCAAGCTATGGTTTGTGTCTTGGTTGACTTTTACTGTCAAAAGGAAGTATCACATGGTGTGGTGGTGTGACTATGCCTAGCCCAGGGAGTGGCACTATTTGGAGGTCACTCCCTGGAGTAGGTATGTCACTGTGGGTGTGGGCTTTAAGTCCTTCATCCTAGCTGCCTGGAAGCCAGTCTTCTCGTAGCCTTTAGATGAAGGTGCAGAATTCTTAGCTTTGCCTGAGCCATGGCCTGAGCATTTGTCTGAATGCTGCCATGTTCCCACCTTGATGATAATGGACTGAACCTCTGAACCTGTAAGCCACCCCCAATTAAATGTTGTCTTTTATAAGACTTGCCTTGGTCATGGTTCACAGCAGTCAAGCCCTAACTAAGACACATGGGAGTTTCAATTGAAGGGTTGCCTTGATAAGATTGGCTCGTAGCCAAGTTTGTGAGGGGTTATCTTGATTGCTAACTGATATGGAAGGACAAGGTCTACTGTGGGTCCTACCATCCCCTAAGCAGGTGGGCCTGGACCATATAAGAAAGCTAGTAGGGGCACAGGCCAGAGAACCAACCAGCAAGTCAGTCAGTAAGGCAGGTTCCTTCATGTTTTCTGCTTCAGTTCCCTTTAAGTGCCTGCCCTGACTTCCTTTAGTCATGGATTGTGACCTGGTAGTATAAGGCAAAGAAATCTTCTCTTCTCCTCTGTTCTATTAGCTCACGGTGCTTATCACAGTAACAGACATCAAACTAGAACTGCTTGTTAATTAAAATTTTTTTTTGAAGAACCAACTTCTGTTTTCATTGATTTTTTTCTATTTATCACTGCTTTAATCTCTATTTATTTCATCCACTATCTTTGGGTTAAGTTTGACTTAAAGTGTAATAATAGTTGGTCGAATCTGCTTCTTTCCAAATTAAATTTTGATCTTTATCAATGTGTGTATGTGAGTTGTATACACTTTAAGACATACATTTCCATACCATTCTCTCTGAAGGCAGAATGTATTTAACTGTTAAGATTAAAATGTGGTTTTATTTAATGGGTAGAATTATCTTTCTCAGTGGGGTATAATAATGTAACTTCTGGGGCTGAAGTTGGCTCAACAGTTAAGAGCACTCATTCTTGCAGAGGACCCAGATTTGGTTCCTAACACACAGATGGTGGCTCACAGTCATCTCTAACTCCACGTCTCAGGTATCGACTGTTTCTTCTCACCTCTTCTGGGCACCGGGCGTGCTTGTGGAACACAGAGTACTCATAAAGTAAATAAAACTTATATTTCTTGAAAATGCAACTTCCTTAAATTTTAAATATGTAACAAATGCAGCTTCCTATTGATGCAATCTTAAATGTGATAAGTCAATGTGACAAAGATCAGTTCCTAAGCTCTTCTTGAATTCTCACTTTTATTTCTGCTCCGAAAAGGCAACCGCTTTCAAATTTTCATGTTACTTCTACTTATATATACTTGAGCGGATATATTTATATAGGCTTTCACTTTGTAGCTCAGGCTAGCCTCAAGATTGCGATTTTCCCCAACCTCCCAAAAGTTGAGATTACATGTGAGCATTGCAACTCTGGGCATTAAAAACAAAACAAAACAAAACAATAAAACAAAACAAAAAACAAAAAACAAACCACCAAAATTTGTATTTTCTCTTGGCTACAGCTTTCTTGGAGTCCTTCATGTTTGTTTCAGTGCGGATTGCCCTTTTCTTTTACTGATGGCCACCAAGATGTCACTTAGATGATGCCTTTGCCGTCATCCTCCATTCAGGATTTCAGATTCAGTTTACAAAACACACTCCCCTGCCCTCAATGTGGACATCTTTGTCTCCTGGCTTTAAGTTCCCCCTCATTTTCCTCAGCTTACAACCTACATTTGGATTTGTTTTTTCATTTTTAGTTCCTGAGAGCTCAGTTTGGTTTCCTGAATAGTCTTATATCACAAATGTCAACGCCTTTCCTCCAAAGACATTGGTCATAAGCAAAGAGCTGCTGTCCTGTGCGTCTCTTGCCTTGGGTTGCTCTCTGGTTACCTTCTGGTTGGTTTGTCACGATTCTTCTCTTTCAGATGGAAGATTTTCAGGTTTGAGGGTGGTCTAGCCGTGATACCTGCGACTTCATTGATCATCAGGATTGATTCTGCCCATGTGCCTGGCTACAAGTGTGTTCCCTTCTTTCTGCACTACTCCATGAGCATCCTTCCTGAAGGTCTATATCTGGCAGAAGAAGACAGCCTTTCTCAATAAGGGAGACAGTTCTTCTGTCAAGGGTATGTAAATAGATATGCTCTCCTGCTAGAACTTCCAAACAAGTTCTCAAAGTCCAGATTACAGGTTTTCTTCAACTATGCAATGGCTGTCAAGTCATATTTAAGAGATGGACATTAAAGGTAGGCTGAGGACTGGCAGGATGCCTTAGTTCAATAAACGCCTTTATCCACTAAGGCATCCTGCCTGGGTTCAATTGCCAGAAGGTAAAAGGGTTTTTTTTTTTTGGGGGGGGGGGGAATCAATAGGGACACTGCAATAGACTACTAGAAAACGTTTCAATGTTATGGACAGAGAGGCAACATATGGTGAGGTCTCCAAAAAGACTTCAGGCCCTGGCACTAATGAAAAAAAAATGGCTGTTTGGTGGTGGCATATGCTTTAATCCCAGCACTCAGGAGGCAGAGGCAAGGGGATCTCTACGAGTTAGAGGCCAGCCTGGTCTACAATGCTAGTTCTAGGATGGTCAGGGTCCTGACTCTCCTCCCCCAACAAAACAAAACAAGGAAAGAAAACTTGTCAGGGTTTCAGAAATGTGAAGAGCCATGTGACATTTGAAGGGTCTGTTCTTGAAATTTTCGAGGATGTGGAGTTTCACAGTACAAGCATGTAGTCTGAAGCTGATTCCCAGGCCGGAGGCAGGAGGCAGGGAGAGAAGTCTGGAGGAGGATTTGTTACCACAATCCTCTTTGATGTTAACTCACCTCCCCCAGGTGATAGTTTGTGGCCCTGGGATATCTGTTAGCCAGGGACTTGGGGACAATGAAAATAAGTTGCTGCAGATATTGTGGCCTGAGCAGAGGCTAGATTCTAAAATTACATTTCTACGGTGGAGGAGACAACTGAGGAGGTTGTCCTCTGATATCCACACACACGCTGTAGATGATCCATTTGGCTTGTGTAAGTACATACTGACTAAATAAATTAAAAAAAATGCTAGCTAGGAATCTAAATAATATAGGACAGCTTGTTGATTTTGGTCATTACTATGTGCAGATTTAGTTGGGTCACTTCGATGGGTATGAAACGTAAAAGCACTTATACGTTTGATTCCTCGATCCATTTCTCAGAGAGGAATCCTGTAAACGTCTGGTTTCAGGAAATGAAGATCTCAGTGGAAAGGCTGGTGGGACCTAGAGAGAGGATAAGGGACAAGTGGTCCAATCAGAAACTAAGGTGTGTGAGAGAGGAATGGAATGTTAATTAAAGGCCAAGGGTTAGTCAGGTTAGTAATCACTTTCAGCTGATCACATGGCACAGCTGACTAAGACATATATCTGGAATTACATCTCTACGCAGCCATAAAGTAGCTTGTGACTTTTGAAAGCCGTTAACCTCTAAGATGTAATCTCTTCAACGGATAAACATGAGGAGGGTCTCTTAAACCCCTCCTTGGTCTATGGTTTCTTTAAAGTGTTTACCATTAAGATTTTTTTTCTTACCTCATAGATTTCTTATTAAAGAATGACTATGTAGCTCATGGGAATGATCACAATAATTTTTGAAACTATCTATGGTTGGGGGAAACAATTAAAACTTATATTGTATGCTATCTTAAAAATATTCACTTGGTGTATGTACGCGTATTTTATTTTTCTCTAATCTAGTAAATGGCTAGAACCTGAAAACACACACACACACTGAAATGCTAGCCTCATTTCTTTCCTTTATAGGTAGAGTTCAGAATCCTCTAATACCAAGGGGAAAAGTCTCTGCGTGGATCAGCTCTAGGGCTGATGTTCAACGCAATCCCAATTTTACCATGACTTATTTAAAGCAAGAAAGCTGGGGCAGCGTGGTCCTTCCATCACACCCCAGACAAGAGATTCGCCGCTTCGCAAGTTAAAAGGGCCACGCCCGAGCAAACTTCAAAAGCAGCAGGCTTCAATTTAGAAAGTGGGCCGGGGTGGGGAGGAAAAAAAAAAAAAAAAAAAAAAAAAGGAAAGCGCAAGCATGCGCAGTGCGGCACGACAGCTCCACCCTCTTAGCATCCTCACCGCGCATGCGTCGAATTGCAGTTCCCGCTACTCCCCGCCCCTTTCCCGCCCGGATGTTATTTTAGACGGACCGGATGTTGTTGTGAGTCCGAGAGACACGTGAGGTTTTGCTACGTCATCACCAGGCACGCGCGGGGAACATGGCGGCGGCGGGCGTTGTGAGCGGGAAGGTGAGTAACGGCACCGGCTGGAGCTGGTGCTCCTGGCCGGTGACCTGCGGCTGTCGGGCGGCTGCCGAGGGGGAAGCCTGGCCGTGTTGGCCTCGGGGGCAGCGGGCGTGTGACAGCGAAAGGGTTCCGCGGGGTGTGAGCTGTCTCTCCGGGGTGCTGGGTGAGCTCGGGGTTAGACGGTTCCTGCTCCCAGGCGGTGCAGGCCTCGGCGGTTTTTCCCGGCTCTGCCCCGCAGTGCGGATCCATCTGGGGACCTCTGTATCCGTTCCTTCTCCCCCCCGTGACTCTAGTTCTTCACGTCTGCCCTTCCGCTTGCAAAGCCTCTTCTTGTAAAAGCCTTTCGAGGCGCCACCCTGGCTTGGGGCTCTCTGTCTTCTTTCGGTGAAGGCGTCAAGTCACCGTGCAGAGGAGCTGACCAGGATTTCTGCAGTTGTATTCTCAAGAGTTTGGGGGTCCTGTTCAAAAAATGAACCCAGTTGGTTAATGGTCGAAGGCACCAACGTTTGTTGGGAACTGGCGATTGACACCGTGCTGGGTTCATTTAGAAAAGCATTTGTTAAAACATTGGTTTCCTAGATATCTTCGGGGCGTTTCTGTGTGTGTGGGTGTCCGCCCTGCTGTTTTTACAGAGGCTTGTCAGTGACACTCTCCTAGTGGGTTAGGAGCCACCATTTAGGTGCGGAGGAGATTATATTGCCAGTTTATATGTAGAGAGACAGCTTATACGTATATAGGGTTATCTGCCTCATGGTATGGTATGCACCTGGCAGCATTTCCCAGTGGAGAGTTGTTTTCGCAAACGTCCGTGACCGGCTGGTAATGATTCAGAGAACACTAAGAACTGTTTACTTGTTGCAGATAGCTTCCGCTGTTCCTTCAGTTTTCACGTCTGTTCGTCTCGTTGCATTTCACCTCGTTTAAAATCTGACGGCGTTTGTGCAATAGCAGATTAGATTGTGGAATAACAAATAATGGTCTTATCCTCGGTGTTGATCTGAATTGTGACCTTGGAAAATGGGATAACTGAGACGTCTCTGTTCTTCGTTATCTGCAGAACGGAAGGGAAGTCAGGCATCCGGTATTGGAGTGTTTAGGAGTAGACGCAACAAGAGTGCTTATATGTTACATATTCTTGCTCTTTAGAAAAATAGGTTGCGCACACTTTAAGGGCTTACTTGTATCCTTGCCCTTTTTTATTTTTTAGTCTTTTTGTATTTGAGATGAATGCTAATCATCTCTTGACTCATTACAAATTAGAAAGTTATCTTGGTGTTTTGGCCTGGGCTGATCCAGTATGGTACTTTCCAAGATGAGATCTTCACCACGTAAACTTCTCTTTTCCAGTTTGCATGGATTCTGAAAGGAGCCCTTGATAAAGCAGTTCTGAGACCTAAGGGGCTCCCCACCTTCTACAGTTATTAGTACCGTTCACAGACTGACTTCCTAAACGGAACTGTTGTCTTTTGTAACTCTGCTTCTTCACCTTATTTGACTGAGGAGACTGTTCCTGGCTGCTCCCATCATTCCACTGAAACTGTGTGGGAATGCATACCATTATGAGTTCTTCTCTCATACGCTGTCTTGATCAGTATATTGTGTGGAATCCTCGCTTACAAAGTTCATTTCTGCTTTACTTGTAGTGTCTTTATGTAAAAAGACTTCAAGGCATTGCGTGCTGAATTTTTTTTTTAATGTAAAACTACCTTTTGCTTTATCAATAATAGATGAGAAACCTTTACTATGTTAAAGAATCCAGACTGATTAACTTGTCATGAAAAGACATTCGCTTTATGCTTTCCTATTTCACCATCTTTCTGTTGAGGCAGAGAGAATATGGTAGAAGTGAGTAGGTAAGCTATTTTTGTTTGTTTGTTTTCGAGACAGGATTTTTCTGTGTAGCCCTGGCTATCTTGGAACTTACTCTGTAGACCAGGTTGGGTTTGAACTCACAAGAGATCTGCCTGCCTCTGCCTCTGAGTGCTGGGATCACCATGTCCAGGCTGAGTAGGTAAAGCGATCTCTTTCCTTCCTCTTCCAGAGTTCAGCCTTGACTGTTAGTTGTGGATGTTAAAGACACAAAAGATTCATTTGTGACAAGGAACAGATGCTAGGCTGGCAGCTGTAAATGTCAGTGTCGGTGCTGCCGTCCAGCATGGAGTGACTGCAGATGGCCGGGAAGTGATGAAGGAAATTAACCTCTTTTATTCAGAGTAGGAACAACAGGTAATGATGTAGAGCATAGAGTCGAGCCCTCATTGTTTTATAAGCTAGTCACCTCCTAGTGACTTCAGCCATTCTCTCTGCCTCTGTCTCCTGGTCTGCAATATGGTAACAGTACCGGCTTTATGTGGGGTTCTAGGGATTGATTACTAAATGCATCCACATGTGGCCTGACCTGGAGTAGATGCTGTGCTGGTGCTACTCTTTGTCTCAGCTTTTTCCTTGCAATTGATTGGTTGGATATGGCAGAATCTTAAAACTTAGAATTATTATTTTGGTATGGGTGTGAGCTATTTCTATTTCATTCTTAGTTTGGATATTTAGAAATACTGTGTCTTAGAAGTCCTAGTTTTGTCATTTTGGTAGAGAGCCTATCCTTTAACAGCTGAGCCAGCTTTGTACCCCAAGGCATTATGTTTTGATGAGTAAATGTCATTATCCTGTGACACCAATTAAGGAGATAGTCCTAATTGCTTAGGATCAAACCTGGCTCAACTTCTTGAGTTGTATGACTTTGGGAAAATTACTTAGCTTCCTTGTGCCCATTACTTAGTTTCATAGAGTGGTATAAATATATTTCCTGCATGGAGCTGTTGGTGGAGTAAATGAATTAATATTTGTAAAACATTTAGAGTAATTCTTGGCATCAAGCACGTGCTTGGTAAATATAGATGTTGCTTAGCTACTGTTAAGTAATGTTAGTTTTGAATAGTTATTTATTCATGTGAAATATATTCATACAAAGAAGTATAAGGCAGTACATAAGCATGAAGGTAATATAGTTATAAAGCAGAAGAGAAGGTACATAATGTGGAGAACTAAATGGTTGGTTAATTATGCTTTAGTGATCTACTATGTGGCTGTGTTTTCTTTCAGCCAAAGTAGAGAGAAGCCTGCTCCACTCTTTAAAGACCCCACCCCACAGCACACTAGTTTGAGTTTAGCTCACAAAACGTAGTCTTCTGTGACTCTTTTCCTACTGTGCAATATAAATGTGATTACACAGTGTGCCTGTTTCTATTGGTGAAAGGAAAACTAAAGCGGAAACAACTCCCAGACATCCTGCAGTGCGAGCCAGTGCATAGTTGAGTAAACACAGAATACCAGTAGAGTGCATTGAATTCTCCCATCGTTGATCAGTTTGTGGGGGTCTTAGGTTTCTATTTCTGTGATGCAACACTATGACCAAGAGCAACGTGGGGCGGAAAGGGCTCATTTTATCTTACAACTACCAGGTCACAGTCCAGCACTGAAGGAAGTCAGGCAGGAACTGCAGTAGAGACTAGAGAGGAAAACCTTGCTCCTTTGGACTTGTTCAGTTTGCTTTTCCTGTATAACCTGGAACATCTGCCCAGGGGCAGGTAGTACCATGCACAGAGGGCTGGACCATGCAACCATCATTCATTAATCAAGAAAATGCCTCACAGGCTTGCCTACAGGGCAGTCTGTAACTTCAAGGAGGTTTTCTCTTTTCAAATGACTCTGCTTGCTTGTGTCAACTGACAGAAAAGTCCATCCAGCACAATGTGCATAGACTTATTCTTATATAGGCATTTTTCTTGTAGTTTTGAAAGTGGGTCAGAGTTTGATTGGCAACCCTGATTAGTTCTTAGAAGTTAGCTAATTTTCTTTGCTGTGTCTGTATAGAACCATGTTTTCAAAAGGCAATCAAATAGGGAGTGGCGGCATGCTCCTCTGGATAGTGAGATAAGTAGAAACACTGTGACAACTAGCCTGCTTCTGCTTTAACAGTGAAGAGAACGGCATCCTGAGATGAAGGAAAGGAAAAAAAGATAGCTTGAAAGAGTTTTTGGCATCCTCTGCTGGTTACAGTTCCCAGTCTCACTCTGCAAATATTAATACATTTGTTCCCAACTATACCGGGCATGGGGGATATATCACATAGTGGTTGCTCTCAGGGTTTCTAGACCAGAGTTTTCAGAAGAAAGACACACACACTTATCCTCTACCTTGTCTAAATAAGATACACAGTAAGAGCTTGGAGTCAGTGGAGTGGGTGACAGTTTTAGAGGACCTTTATATTCTGATGGCCTGTAGATTGACAGTTGTCTATCTGTAAAATCAGAGTTTGAAACAGTTCACCTGCACCTTGCTTAGACCCGACATTGTAGATACTCAATGAAAAGAGCAGCAGATATAGAAGATGAGGAGGGAATTAGAGTGCGAGAGATGAGCCCATTAATGCCACCTTCCCTGGTGTGGATATGGAGGTTGGAGGTGAGCGGTTTTAGGTGGTTTTCTTTTTCTGCCTTTATCTGGGCTTTGGGGATCAGTTTCCGCTTGCCTGGCAGCTATTTTACCCATCTTTATTGCCTTGTGGTAGTAAAACAAACAAACCCCCAAAACTTTTAAAAGAAAATTTGTGTGTATGTATGTGTGTGGGCCTGTGAATGGTGTGTATATGTCAAGGTCAGAGGACAACTTGCTGGGGTCAAGTTTTCCCCTACTGTCTGTGCTGTGGGCATTGAACTCGTGTTGTCAGGCTTGGCATCAAGTGCCTTTACCTGTGGAACCATTTCCCTAGGCCCTTGTTCTGTTCATTTTGTTTGTTTGTTTTGAACACCTTGAAACCATTGGGAAATCAGCAATTATTCTCTCAGAATTTGTTTTGAAGACTTTTTTTTAGTAAGAATTTATTGCATGGGTTAAAGTTGGCCACATCCATTTTCTTTTAAATTTTTTTATAGTCTTGTGAAGTCATTAATGCTTTGGAAAGGTAAAGAATATTCTTTTTTTCAGATTTTATTTTGAGATAAGCC